CTGCACTCATGCCTGCCCGCCTCTTGCTCCTTGTCAAGGGATCCGCATTGTCCTCCTCTCGATCGCGCGACGCCTCAAGCTCGCCTCGATCCCTTGCCTTTGAGCTCGCAAGCTGTGCACCTCCTCCTGATTAAAAGAAGGACATGTCCGAAATCCTTGAAGCCAAGCGCACAGAAACAGGGCACACACGCATCAAGTGGCTTATTTACTGTGAGCAGCTTGTTTATGTAGAGCCTTTTGTTAGCTTCATTTTTACAATATACTGTCCAATCTAATTGGTTTTACTAACTTCTGACATGGGAAACTTCCTGGAGTCGAAAAATCCTCATTTTGACACCGGTGACTTCTCCCGAACTCCTTGAAGTCTACGATATAGACATCTACTGTCCATGGACGGTTTTCCAGCGGACGTTCAGCGCATTTTAGCACTTGTCTCTGATTGTGCTTGTGCCGCAACACTTTCTTAATTAGCCGAAAGTCTAATGCAGACTTATGGCTTTGCCAAACCACCACCTGCCACCGCTGGTGACTGGCTTTCCTGTGGTGACTACGGGGATTTAAAGAACGTTACCACCCCCAGACCACTACGTCTTTCCACATCTTCAGGAATTTGCCTGTGCTTTATTTAGCAAGTCCGTGACCTCAAAGATCAATCTGGTCCGAGCTTTTCACCAAATTCCTATCGTCCCGGAGGATGTTTCTAAAACGGCAGTCACAACTCCATTTGGCCTCATTGAGTTCCTGCGCATGCCGTTGGGACTCCACAACGCCTCCCAAAACTTCCCCAGGTAATTTTGACAGGTGGCTCCGTGAGCTACCCTTTGTCTATGCTTACATTGACGACCTATTAGTGGCCAGCTCTACCGCTGAGGGAGACATGTAACATCTCACAACGGTGCTTCACCACCTTCAACAGTTTGACATTGTCCTCGACCCATCCAATTGTGTCTTCGGTGTGTCTTCCCTGTAGTTTCTTGGATACCTTGTCGACTCTACCGGCATCCATCCTCCGGCAGCCAAGGTTGCGACCATTCGTGGTTTCCCGCCTACTTCTTAGCCTCAACTTCAGCGATTTTTGGGCGTGCTGAATTTTTATCACCCTTTTCTCTCTACCTGTGACCTTCACGAACCTTCTT